GGACTTAGATAGGTCCGCTCTGATATATTGGCTTAACTCAGTTTAAATTTCAGCATTAGCAGATCATCGTGTGGAGTGATCGTTAGGATTAGAAGTTGTCATTGTTTGGCAACCATTGTTTGTGCTAGAAAATTTAGGAATTATTTGCCCTATTTTTGAAGAGTTGAACTTTGATTGCAAGTTGGTAGTTGATTTTGTACTTATCTGTCATATAGTCACTGTGTGAAACTTGTGTGAAAATTTGAATTTTTTGTATATACACTTTCGTGTTTGCATTAATTATCCAATTAGAACACCTAGACCTGACCCGTTCGAATATTCCCTTGATCTAAGATTGTGAATCTTACGAAATCCTGAGAATCTAGAACGGTATATATTGCGACTTTATGATTACTTTGTGTGACCTATTTGTGACTTGGTTGTTCTGTTTTTTATTTTCTCCTTAAAAATGTTTTCACACTTTGAAGTTGGAATTTTCAATGGGAAAGGAGATTTTTCAATTTGGCAATAAAAGATTATGCGTATTTTGGTCCAACAAAAAGTTTCAAAGGGCATAGATGGCAAATTTTCTGCAAATTTAACAGAAACACAAAAAGAAGAGTATGATGAATTTGCATACACTTTAATTATTTTACACCTTTCTGATACTGTTTTGAGAAAAGTAGGAAAATTGGATTCTACAAAATAACTTTGGAAAAAGTTGGAGGAATTATATTTGCTTAAGTCAACTCTTAATAAATTGTACCTGCTTGAACGATTTTTCAGTTTTAAAATTTATCCTTCAAATGATCTTGATGACATTCTGGACGTTTTCAATCAATTTGTCCAAGATATTGTTGACTGTGAAGAAATTGTGTCTGAAACCTACAAGGCTATAATCTTGCTTAATTCTATACCAGACACCTATAGGGAAGTTAAGAATGCAATTAAGTATGGTAAGGATACTTTTAACACCCGAGATTGTCATAGACTCACTTAAGAGTAAGGAGATCGAGATTAAGGCTGAAAAAGAGGATAAGAGGAGTGAATAGTTACATATGATGAGGAGTAAGATGAAATTTAAGCAAATGAATTTGGGTGGAACTCAAGACGGTAGTGATTCGAGTAGTGACTCGAGTGATAAGGGTAGTAAGAAGAAGGGCAAGGGATGAGACAAGTCTAGTGGTAGAAGGTGTTACAGTTGTGGTAAGTTTGGGCACTTTATTAGGGACTGTCCTAAGAAGAAAGATAAGCTGAAGGGTAAGATGAGATGTGAGACGAATTTGGTTGAAGGGTCGATTTATGACCCCAATGATGTTTATTAAGTGTAAACCTAGTCACTGCATATGCATTTGTGTGATCATTTTCTGCATGTGTATGATTGTCTAAATTTTGTTGCATGATTATCTGCTACGTCTCAATGTGTTTGATATATGCATTTGCATGAATTTGAGACATTAGGATTATTTGGTGTTATTGCTTGCATGCATAGTGAGTTAGAATGTATTAGTAGTATATTGTATGCCTTTTGGTAAGGTAGAGTATAGATGCCTAGGGATACATAGTGATTTGTACCGGAGATGTGGAGTGTGACATTTGAATCACGAGTGGAGATGTGATCAAATGTCTAGAATCCTTTATCTGGAAAGAGAACCTAATCAGGTGGAGTGTGAGAGAGATACTTCTATCACTTCTATTAGGTGGAGACACATTATCCACGTAGGTTAGGAGAAGTGATGTGGAAATAATGATTATCCCGTGGACTTAGGATCTATTGTGACTTGCCAGTTAGACATTAGTTGAGTGATCTGTCTAGTGAGCTTGGTGGGGGATAAGAGGAGATATGTGTTCTCGAGGTGTGAGCAACATGGAATGAGATAGGATAAGTGTGGTGAGATCTTTTCTTAGGGTCATTTATGCATGTGTTGCATATGTGGTTGAGTGTGGTTTGATTGACTTGGTGTTAATCTATGGTTCTATGTGAATGTATTTCTGAAAAGATCTGTGTGTGTTATCATATATTATATCGCCATCGCACATGTATTTGCTATTGATTGTTTACTATTAAATATTTGCTTCTATTTGGGTGTTTTTGACCTTAGACCCAGTGAGTACATGGAGCAGGTATGATATGTGTTTCAAGTTGGAAATACAAGGTATGGTCTGTGATTCAATTTTATTGGCTATCTTGATTATGCAAGTGCTAACTGTGTATTTTGATTGCTTGCAGATTTATTGGGTATCAAGGTGAAGATTTGTTGGGTTTTTTGATACTCAATAAATCCCTGGCTATGATTTTAAAGTGGTTTAATATTATTTCATAGGCATAGGCTGATGAATGAAATAAGTTCAACAACCAAGTTCATGAGCTACACCCGACCCAATTGTATTTCCTTATGAATGACTTGAATCTTGACACGTTTACCCCTTTAATGGTCCAACTTAAAGCTTAACCCTAGAATATATATATGGCTATAACACTAGCCACTTTCTTATGATGATTGTGTGATTTTGAGAGAAGAAAAAGAGAATCCTGGCTGCCCTCCTTTGGATGAGAAAAAAGGTATCCAAAAGTGTCCAGAACGCTTGTATAACGTGTGAAATTGGTGGTTCCTTCATAGTATACCTTTGTGGTGTCTTCTCCTAGTTTTTGTGACCACAAATCATTATCTTTTCTTGTCTTAGGTGGGTAAGATTGAATAGCAATCGAGGTGAATCAATTGGTTGTGGTTTAGAGTCGATTGGACTGGTTGTTGGTTGAGAAAGGCGTTGAACTGAGCCCGAAAATCACCGATTTGAAGATCTTTCAAGAAAGTTTTCGCAACACAGAGAATTATGGAATTGATGTTTGGTCTTTGTAAAATGTTTTCTTGAATGAAACAAAGGGTCAACCAATTGTAAAAAATATTTGAACATAATTATGAAGCTTTGATCTCATGGTTGGGTCGAGAGAGCTTGGAATTGTGTTCTTGAACTTCAAAGGATGTGTTCTCTTGAATTGAGTATTTATAATATCAAGTGTTTGAAGTATTTAGGGTTGTAAAATAGCTAAAATCGCAAACCTAGGATTTTTTGGATAAATACGCAGCTTGGGCGCCAAGGTCATGGACAGTTAGCGGCTAGAAAACTATTATTTCCATTTGAATGGGAGGCGCGTGTTTGGCGAAGCGATTTTGTGGCTTTGCTTCCTTGGTTCATTTTTTACATCTTTGACTCCTTCATGACCATGCTACCAACCTCGACTATTTGACTTTAATTACAACTCAATAACTCATAATATTGGATACAAAAATTTTCAATTATAAATTTGGACCTGAACGTATGAACTTATGGTAGAACCTCGATACATGCTCTAGAGATATAGAAATCTCTACTAGTATTGCCTTACATATTAGAGATGTTTTTAATAGTATTGGTATAAAAATAAAAATTTAAATTCTCGGTAGTATCATATCGTGCCATTTGTTCACCCAATCATATAAGAAGATGAGGTAAATAATTGAGACCTAATATACTCGATAGAGAATAGGTAAAGTTCTAAAAATTCGAATATTTGGGAAAGCGGGCTATCATTCATCTCTGGCTACATCGATTGTTCTATGATATAACCAATCATTGTGATACAAACCCACCTAATAAATTGGAAAAGAGGGGGGGGGGGGGGTGATTTTTAATTTTATATTTTTAAAA